TGTTCAAGGAAGTCCGACTTCTGCTGAAAGCACACACTGTCAAAAGTGAACCTGTGCAGTTGTTGCTTTAAGGAGTTATTTCTATCTGATACTACATATAATTCTAGTTTTGTTGTTGTAACCTAGTTCACTCAAGATTATCTAACATAAAACAAGAGGATGTTACTTCAATTTAAATCCATTACTTTGACCCAACATACAACTTCCAATAAAGCTCAGAACAAACACATTCGAGACGAACTTTCAGCTGCAACAAACGTGCTTTAGAAAGCACAGTTACCGTTACCAGAGAAAAACTATAGCTAAAAAGTCAAGGATCAAGACTGCAACTAAAGCACCTATCCCCACAACGGTGACTCAATAAAACATCAACATCTAAACCTCTGTTAATTCTTAATAAGACGTTTTGTATGAAAGAAATGAAGTCAGACTGGTTTGTAATAAGTGAAGATGCTGAGATCTAGAGAGATCTGTTAGTGTTTAAAGTTCTGTTGGGATTTAAAGGGTTTCTGTTGTCTGAGTTTTGTGGGTCACCATTGTGCTGAAGAGTAGAGTGTGTGCTTCAGTCCAGGAGAAGCCCAAGAAACATTGATGTCATGCTGCATGTTGCTTTATTTATAGGGAGTAGCTGTGCTGTTGCTGATGCAATGATAGTTACATTAGCTCAAGCATGTGTGCAACTGCAAGAGATTTATATTTTACAGAGAATGTTATTTTCGTTAACAGTAAATGTTTAGCACTCTGTGCTGCCATGCATTTCACCGTTTTTTTTTTCAGTGTGGAAAATGACTTTCATCATTTAAAATAAAAATGATTATATCAAACTTAAGTAATTTTACCTAACTGGAGAAATCAGGTTACATCTACTAACACTTATGCTTCAGTAAAACTTGTTTTTTCAAGTTGGTTGAATTAAGTTATAATCAGTAATCTTAAATCATTTACTTCATTTCAATAAAACCAGTTATTGTAGATGTTACCGGATTAAGTACCTTTTCTACGTTGAACTGACTAAACAGTTTTTTTCAGTGCAGTAGGCTGCATTCAGATCTGACAACCGGAAAGCCTACAGTTTATCCAGGGTCAGTCTGAAGAAGGGAATTAAAGCAGCTAAACGCAATTACAATGTTTATTGAAGACTAATTTAAAAACAATGACCCCAGATGTACTGTATATGGCAAGGCACCGATGCCTTACAGAATGTAAACCTTTAACCCCCCCCCAAATGAACTAAACCACTTTTACACTCACTTTGATCGTGGAAACAGAGAAGCACCCAACAAATCTGAGCCCTTATTCGACGACCTGCCACTCACTTTTTCAACCAGTGAGGTGTGCTCCACTCTGAGCAGGGTGAATGCACATAAAGATGGCATCCCTGAGTACTCAGGGCCTCCGCAGAACAGTTGGCTAATGTCTTCACCCACATTTTCAACCTCTACTTGGCCCAGGCCGTTGTCCCTACCAGCTTCAAAACAACCACCATTGCACCAGTACCAAAATATACTGCAGCAACGACTTCCGCCCTGTTGCTTTCACTCCCATCATCACAAAGTGTTTTGAGAGGCTGGTCCTTACCAACCTGAAAACATGCTTGCCCCCAACACTGGACCCATATCAGTTTGCCTATAAACTCAAAAGATCAACTGAAGATGACATTGCCTCAGCTTTTCACTCCGCACTGACTCACTTAGATTAAAGTACACATATGTCAGGATGCTATTCAATGATTTCAGTTCTGCCTTCAATACTGTTATGCCTTCCAAACTGATTTCCAAGGGGCATCAGCCCCTCCCTCTGCAACTGGACCTTGGACTTTCTCACTAACAGATCACAGTCTGTTAGGCTTAACAGTTACAACTTCTCCACCCTCATTTTGAACACTGGTGTTCCACAGGGATGTGTGCTAAGCCCAGTACAGTTCCCTCTTCACCCATGACATACCTGTACATGGCTCTAACTCCATAATCAAGTTTGCAGACGACACCATGGTGGTAGGCCTGATCAGTGGCAATGATGAAATGGCCTACAGGGATGAGGTTCAGCACCTGGCAGTGTGGCGTGCCAACATTAATCTGCCACTCAACACCCAGAAGGCCAAAGAACTGATTATGGACCACCGGCAGTCTAGGATAGGTCACACACACTCCCATCTACATTGATGGAGCCAAAGTGGAACCTGTGACTAGCTTCAAGTTCCTTGGTGTCCATATCTCTGAGGATATATCCTGGACCCTCAACACATCCACTCATCAAATCAAAAAGGCACAACAGCACCTTTATTTCCTTAGCACACTAAAGAATGCTCACCTGTCCCCCACATGCTGTTGAACTTTTAGTGCTGCACTATTGAGAGCATCCTAACAAACTGCATCACAGTGTGGTACGGCAGCTGCACTGTGTCAGAACCGAAAGCCCTCCAGCAGGTGGTGAAAACTGCCCAATACATCACTGGTGTTCCGCTACCCTCCATCAAAGACATTCACCACAAACGCTGCCTAAAGAGAATAAGAAGCATTATCAAAGACTCCTCTCAACCCAGCCACAGACTCTATATTTCTCTCCCATCTGGGAGATGTTATAGTACACTATAGTATAGTATATACACCAGCAGACTGAGGAACAATTTATTTCCCTCAGTTGTTAGCCTGCTGAACTCTAAACTCAGGTACTGAACACTACATCCCCCTCTGACCACGGATACTAATTTCTACCTCATAATGCTATTTGCATTGTATACTGTTGTGTTTCAGGTGGCAATACAAAGCCAGGCCACAGCAGTTGAACGTGTCACATAACTAATTTAATAACATTTCTTAACACACATACATCTTCTGCTCATCACTCTACTTCTTTCTTTTTTTTTTCTCCATTGTCCAATAGTGCTATCTCCCTCTAGTGGCCTTAGTAAGCATAACATTGGATAACAGTACACCACATATACCATACATATGTATATCATATATACAGTTCATATTCAGTATTACTTATTCTGTATAATGCATCTACTGTTTCATTTGCACCTTGTATTTACAACCACTTTAATCGAGCTGGTCTCTGCTTCTGTACCTCAAACTTTGCACTCCATAAAAAATATTATTGTATGAACATAAAAACCATGCGACTGTATCAACTGCAGCAGAGAGGACAGAGAGGTATGAACTGAAATTACACAAGTGTTCCTCCTTGGCATTATATAACTATATAACTAGTTATATAATTATATACATGTATATATTTCTATATTTATATCACATATTACTATTTGCACTTCTGGTTAGATGCTAACTGCATTTCAATGGCTTTGTACTTGTACTCTGCACAATGAGAATAAAGTGGAATCTAATCTAATCTAAGCAGTATTAAGGCATTGCTCTAGAGTGGATAGTTCACCAGGGAGGAAGATAATGGTGTAAAATTGAAGGGTGGTGCCTTTCATACACGGTCTGGTAGAATGGTGCAGGCAGTAACAACATTGATTGAATCCATGAGTAGGTTCATGGCTGAACATTGAAAAAAAAAAGACTATTACTGCTTTGGCAGAATAAAATGGCCTTTCATAACTTTTTCCTTGTTCCATAAAGTTTGATAAGCAGTTTCTATTAGGCCATATTATCTATTAGAGTTTTTCCTTCTTCCGTTTAAAAAAAAATCTCTGTCCACATGAAAACGCAAACGTATGCTATGAAGCACAGTCAAGAGCATGCCAAACCAACAGGTAGCAATATAATTTCAACCGTAAAGCCATGTTTGCCAATCAGAAGCCTGAAAAAGTTTCCAGTAGCCGGAGATAACAGCGCATGCTCCAACGTTACAAGCCAAAAACTCCGGTTTCGCTGTCTACACAATAACACTGCAACCAGAGTTTTTTTAAAATCTTCACCCTGTTTGCGTGTGGACGAACGGCCAAACCACATAGAAAAAGCTGTGGTTTTAAAAAATAACCATGTTCGTGTGGACAATTAAGGTGCAGAGAGACTGAGCAAGGGATGATCCATATTTCATTAAGGAGGAGGGGTTGAAGTATATATTAAATGTATGCAGTGTGGAAATGTTGTTTTACAGCATTTAAACTTGGTGCTTATTAAACATTAAAATTACACTACGGCCCTATGCTGCTTGTGTTTTAGAAGAATGTTTTATGTTCTTTTGTGTTGCCAAATTGGTATACCCCTCTTTTGGATCAATGGTATATTCCCCGGGTGTTGCACTCCTCAGTCTATGGGAAGCATTCTGAAGAGAGATTGTAAAACAAGAACAGAGATAATTATTGTAACACTGTCCCATTTTACTGTTCCAGTAAACACCCAGGAAAAGGCATTACCGGTTTTTGTCCTTGTTTAGGGGCTCATCCTGTACAGTGTCCTGTGTTCCGTCGTTGAGTCTCAGAGGCAGTGCACATAATAATTAATATATTTGTAAAAAGTTAAATAAAGCTATTTTTAGAGACTTTCAGAAAATTCTAAATATCCTAATTTTATCAATGGAAATTAAATCTGAGATATTTTATAGGGATTGATTGAAGAATTCATAGAAAAACTAATTTAGACTCCAGTCTTTACCGTTCCAGATTAATTATCTAAAATGCAAATGGTCTCATCAAAACACCCCATATTGTCAAGCGGATGTGTCTCTGTGTGCCTGCATAGATGTGCATACTTGGGACCATCCTGCCAAGTGTGGGGTGTCTGTGGGAATACAGGAACAGCAATTCTGCTTATAGTTTTCAGTACTGCAGTACAATATGGTAAATAGTTGCAGTATCACTTCATTTTTTTTTATTTTTTTTTTACCCTATTTTATGTCAGCTTTGGATTCTTACTAATTCTAAGTTTAAGTTTGAGACCTAGTGAACTTTAGCATATGAGTTTATAGATTAACAGACACACCTGTATGGCACACTTTTCACAAACATAAAACCAGGAAACCAGGAAACTCATAAAACCTGAAACTCACTGAGGGAACACAGAACTTTAGCTGTTGTATGTGTCTCTGTATTAATGCGTACATGCAGTAAAATGGCTCAAGCCTGTGTTTCAGAGGAGCAGTTCATCTGCCCACTGTGTTTGGATCTACTAAATGATCCAGTGACCATTCCCTGTGGACACAGTTACTGTAAGAGCTGCATTACAGACTGCTGGGATCATGAGGATCAGAAGAGAGTCTACAGCTGCCCTCAGTGCAGACAGACCTTCAGTCCAAGACCTGCTTTAGGCAAAAACACCATGCTGGCTGAAGTGGTGGAGAAACTGAAGAAGACCAAACTAAAAGCTGCTGTTCCTGCTGGACCTGGAGACGTGGAGTGTGACATCTGTACTGGAAGAAAACACAAAGCTGTCAAGTCCTGTCTGGTGTGTCTGGAGTCTTACTGTCAAACTCACTTTGAGCGTCATGAGGAGTTTCACCCAGGAAAGCGACACAAAGTGATTGATGCAACTAGACAACTGCAGCAGATGATCTGCCGTCAACATGAGAAGCTTCTGGAGGTTTTCTGTCGTACTGACCAGCAATACATTTGCATGTTGTGCGCAAAGGATGAACATAAAAAACATGCGACTGTATCAACTGCAGCAGAGAGGACAGAGAAAGAGGTATGAACTGAAATTACACAAGTGTTCCTCCTTGGCATTATATAACCACATCACAATGTGAATGGATCATTTCAGCTCCACACCCACTGGTAATTGCAACATTGTGTCTCTGTGCATTTGAATATAAGTTGATCTTTGCTCAACTTTGTCATATCACCAATGGTCATTGTTTCTTGTGTATCTTAAATCTATATGCAATCGAAATTCACATGGATCTCAGAACTTGCTTATGATAAATTATATTATTTTATATAATATTTATCATGTTTGCTGTTATCTGTTTGTCCTACAGAGGCATTTAAAGGAGACACTGAGAAAACTCCAGCAGAGAATCCAGCAGAGACAGAAAGATCTTGAGCAGCTGAGAGAGGCTGTGGAGTCTCATAAGGTGAGTTTGGAGAAGAAGAGAGGTTTGAGACTCAGTTTGACTCTCCTCTTTCAGTCCCACTGAAGCCGCTGTGAGGAAGCAGTAAGAGCTGATTGTGATGTGTGTCTAACAGCGCTCTGCACAGACAGCAGTGGAGGACAGTGAGAGGATCTTTACTGAGCTCATCCGCTCCATTGAGAGAAGCCGCTCTGAGGTGACACAGCGGATCAGAGATCAGGAAAAGACTGCAGTGAGTCGAGCTGAAGGACAAATGGAGCGACTGGAGCAGGAGATTGAAGATCTGATGAACAGAAACTCTGAGCTGGAGCAGCTTTCACACACAGACGATCACATACATTTCCTGCAGGTAGCCCAACTGTAGTGCAGGTTATTGGGGACAGTGTGAGATAATGAGGTCTTTGAGTCATTTGTATTGTTATTCCTGCAGAGTCTTCAGTCTCTCTCAGCTCTTTCTGAATCTACAGACAACATCACGATCAGTTTCCTCTTTTCATTGGATGATGTGAGAGAATCTGTCTGTCAGCTGAGACACAAACTGGAGGATTTCTGCACAGAGGAGATGAAAAAGATATTGGGTAAAGATTCATCTGCTCTCTGAAAACAGTCTTTAGGTATAGTCTTTTAGGTTTACCTCTGTTTTACTTTATGTCTGTGATTCCCACAGTCACTCACATTGACATTGGTTCTAGGACCAGTGAGGACTTCCTACAATGTAAGTCTAATAAAACACAATTACAAAACGTTTACTTTCTAATTTCTAATTCTTAATTATTTTGTAAAAATATCAGACTCACCAATGAGTAAACCAAATTATACCAAACAATATACTTAAAAAATATGTTAAAAAAATTCTTACAATATTTTCAATCTAATATCTAAACCAGAAGTAATGACTATTTAATATATTAAATACACTGAATATAAACAAGGAAGTGTTAAGCTACAATCAATGTCTAACAAAACAATTAAAAATCATTATACAGTATCATCAGATTCCCATCAGCTCACTCTGGATCCAAACACTGCACATAAACTCCTCCGTCTCACTGGGAAGAACAGAGTGGTGACTTACACTGACACACCCCAGCCGTATCCTGATCATCCAGACAGATTTGATATATATTTTCAGGTTCTTTGTAGAGAAAATGTGTGTGGATTCTGTTACTGGGAGCTTGAGTGGAGTGGGAATGTTGGTGTGGGTATATCAGTGTCATATAAGAGCATCAGCAGGAAGGGATCTGGTAAGGAGTGTGTGTTTGGACGTAATGATCAGTCCTGGAGTTTGTCCTGCTCTCCCTCCAGTTTCTCATTCTGGCACAACAACAAACAGACTAAACTCCCTGTTCCCTCCAGCTGCAGGAGAATACGAGTGTATGTGGATCACAGTGCAGGAACTCTGTCCTTCTGCAGCGTCTCTGACACAATGAACCCCATCCACACAGTCCAGACCACATTCACTCAGCCGCTCTATCCTGGATTTGTGGTTGGTTATAAATCATCAATGAAACTGTGTGATTTTCAACTGATATAGCTTCCTCCTTCTAAACAATTAGTATACTGGACACACTGGGTTTTTACTGGACATATTTGTGTAATATAATATTTTTGTATCTTACTGTTCTCTATTTCTGTTTTATCACGTGATAGAAAGTCTAAGGCTTTCTCAAGCCGTACGGCTGACATTAGTCACATTTAAATCCAGACTCAAAACTCGTATGTTTAGCTGTGCATTTAGTGAATAAGCACTGTGCGACGTCCTAACTGATTGCACTGTATTTTATGTACAATCTTTTTCTATTCTTAACTGTTTTAATTTATTTTAAATCAAATTTAGCCGTACGGCTGACCCATCTAATCTGCGGCCTGTTATGCATCAAACTAAGATTGCTGTAAAGGCACAAAGTAGCGCCATCAAGTTAGCATTTTTAAACATTCGCTCGCTAAAAAATAAATCATTTCTGATCAATGACTTAATAACCACAAACAACCTGGATTTTATGTTTCTAAACGAAACATGGCTAGAAGACAGCTGCAGTGCAACGGTCCTCAATGAAACAGTCCCTCCTAACTTTACTTTCATGAGTGTTTGCAGGACTGTTAGGAGAGGTGGAGGTGTAGCTGCTCTATTTAAAGATGTCTATCAATGCAAGCAAGTGTCATTTGGTCAGTACTTGCCTTTTGAATATCTAGGGATTGTGCTGAAAGGTGCTCTATGCATTCTGTTTATCATTATTTACAGATCTCCAAAATACTCTCCAGCCTTTGTTGAAGAGTTCACAGAACTGTTATGTTCTGTTAAATGATTTCCTCAGAGTTTGACTGTTTTTCTATTGCAGGGGATTTTAATATTCACATAGGTAATGCAGAAATCAAAACTACAAAAGAAATTATAACTGTTTTAAACACTTTTGAACTGATTCAGCATGTGCATGAACCCACACACAATCGTGGACATACTCTAGATTTAATCATCAGTAGAGGTCTAAACATTTCATCCATTGTTATTAAGGACGTAGCACTATCTGATCACTTCTGTATTTTCCTTAATATATTGATCTCTGTTACCACTGAATCTAGATCCGTCTCTGTCAGAAAGAGATGCATTAACGAAAACACTAGTGTGCTATTTATGGAGGCTTTATTTCTTAACACCAAGCATTTCTGCAGACTCTGCTGATCTTCTCCTTGATTCCTTTAACTCAAAAGTTAAGAATGTCATTGATGACATTGCTCCTGTGAAAGTCAGCAAGAAGACTGGCAGACAGAAATCAGCTTGGAGAAAATCAACAGCAGTTCAGAGTATGAAAAGACAATGCAGAAAAGCTGAACAGATATGGTGGAAGACGAAACTTGAAATTCACTATAGCATATATAAAGACAGCCTTCGTGCTTTCAATGTGGAACAAGCCACAGCTAGACAGACCTTCTTCTCAAACCTTATAAACAGTAACTTAAACAACACTCGCACTCTTTTTGCTACTGTTGAGAGACTGACAAACCCCCCAAGTCAGATTGCCAGTGAAATGCTCTCCAACAGCAAATGCAATGAGTTTGCTTCCTTCTTTTCTGAGAAGATCAATAATATCAGGAAGGCGATTAGCACATCCCCAAGTTATGCAGAGGTTAGACAGATTCGACCACAATATCAAAAAGAAGATACTATGTCTGCTTTTGAAGAAATTGATAGCAAAATTTTGGAAGAAATAGTACAGCACCTTAAATCGTCAACCTGCTATCTTGACACACTTCCCACATATTTTTTCAAAAGGGTGCTTAACTGTTTGGAAGCAGATCTCTTAGAAGTGGTGAACGCCTCACTTCTTTCTGGGACTTTTCCAAACTCCCTGAAAACTGCAGTTGTTAAACCCCTTCTGAAAAAGTCAAATGGTTCAAGTCATACTTAGAAGGGAGAGGTTATTATGTGAGTATAGGAGAACATAAGTCTAAGTGGACGTCCATGACATGCGGAGTCCCACAAGGCTCAGTTCTTGCACCGCTCTTGTTTAGCCTGTATATGCTCCCACTGAGTCAGATAATGAGAAAGAACCAAATTGCCTATCATGGCAATTTGATGATAACCAGATTTACCTAGCCTTATCACCAAATGACTACAGCCCCATTGACTCCCTCTGCCAATGCATTGATGAAATTAACAGTTGGATGTGCCATAACTTTCTTCAGTTAAACAAGGGTTTTGTTTCCAGTCAAGACTTGGAGAAACTTGTTCATGCCTTTATCACCAGCAGGGTGGACTGTTGTAATGGTCTCCTCACCGGCCTTCCCAAGAAGACTATTAGACAGCTGCAGCTCATCCAGAACGCTGCTGCTAGAATTCTGACTAGAACCAGAAATTCTGAGCATATCACACCAGTCCTCAGGTCTTTACACTGGCTTCCAGTTATATTTAGGATAGATTTTAAAGTACTTTTACTCGTTTATAAATCACTCAATGGCATAGGACCTAAATACATTGCAGATATGCTCGCTGAATATAAACCTAACAGACCACTCAGATCATTAGGATCGAGTCAGTTAGAAATACCAAGGGTTCACACAAAACAAGGGGAGTCCGCTTTTAGCTGTTATGCCGCCCGCAATTGGAATCAGCTTTCAGAAGAGATCAGATGTGCTAAAACATTAGCCACATTTAAATCTAGACTCAAAACTCATCTGTTTAGCTGTGCATTTATTGATTGAGCACTGTGCTACCTCCGAACTGATTGCACTGTATTTTATATATAATCATTTCCTATTTTTAACTGTTTTAAATTCATTTAAAATAATTTTTTTAATCATTTTAAAAGTTTATAAATTCCTTGTTTTATTGTTGTGATTATTTTTTATGATTATTTTACTTCCTTTTATGTAAAGCACTTTGAATTACCATTGTGTATGAAATGTGTTATATAAATAATCTTGCCTTGCCTTGCCTTACTGTTATAAAATTTGAGAAAAAAACTTACTGTATATTATTTTTAATGTAACAATTTTGAGTCAAAATTAGATGTCCAGTATTCTGACATATGCAGATTACAGTGTACATATTACACACCTTGCATGTTAGCATGATTTCAACAGAACTGACAATAACTATGTGGAATTTGCTCAGAGAAATAATGAAATAAATAAATATGTTTTACTTTAGTATTACTCAATACTTGCTCATTTATCAGTCAGGATTATGTATGCCGTTCAAGCAAGGTCTTTCCACATCCATTACCTTTCTGATTAGTTACTTTTTAAACCTTTTCCAATAAACATTGTTTGTTTCCCATCTTTTACTACAGTTTTAACTGTAGTGTAATGGTGGAATAAGAATAAATGTGGAAATTACATATAAAAACAACAGTGACAGGTGTGAGTCTGAGTTAAACTGTACATCAGTATTTGTGACTGTGAGAACTACATTTAAACAGTTTTGATGTGATCTAATTTGTTTTATGTTGGCTATTAAACATTCTTATGTCTGTTAATGAGGAATTTGTGGACATAAATTATATTTCTGCCAGGACTACTATCGTCAAAACGATTGACACTTAGAATATAGTTTGGATTGACAGTATGGTTCTGTTCTGGGCAAAAACTCCCTGCCCATCCATGCAGCCTGTCATGAATGAGCAGAGAGAGCAGCAATACGCCCCCTTAGGGTAAAACAAATAACACAAAGCAGATATCATTAATGTCATTAATTATATTTAAGTGGAACAACAATTTTCAAGACAAAAGTAGTCTGATTCAATGAGGAATATCAGCAAGCCAAGTGAGTGTTCTGACTTTGGTGAAAGGAGGAGTTGGGGATGGAGGTAATTTGCTCCTGAGCAAGCAAAAAAGCTGTTGAATAATACTGGATAGACGTTATATAGGAATGCTGTGATAGGCATTGTATTCCTATATGTAGATATGGATCAACTGAGAGTCAGCTGATGCAAGCTTGACTCACATGACCTGCCATAACTAAT